CAGGATGGGAACACTTAGTATACAGTATGGAGTCAGTGAAGTATGCGTTTTCACTTTTTAAGCGTAACTTCTCCAAATGTCCATCTTTTCACCTGATTTTTTTTATAGTTAATGCCTATCAACGAATGTGATGAGCGAGCAAGTTCTCAGCTGTCTAAGTGAATTATGAAATATTTTAAAAGAATTTACATTATTTTGTGGCCAAAACACCATCATACCTGTAAAATCTTGAATCTTTCTGAATTTCCAATTTCTCAACGGAACAACTTGTATAATATCAATATAACAACTACGGCATTAATACTTCGTTGCATAACCTCTAGCGTCAATGACCGCTTGACATCGGCGTGGCATGGACTCGATGAGTTTGTCGATCCCCTCCTGTGGGATGTTCTCCCATGCTGTCTTCAACTGAAGGAACTTTTCGTGCTCATTTCGAGCTCTGAGACCTTTTACTTGATGCTCAAGTCTTTCCCATAGATGTTCGATGGGATTCAGATCGGAAGACTGCGACGGCCACGTTGACGGGACGTTGTTGTCGCTGAACCATTTGGTGAGCAGCTTCGATTTGTTTCGGGTCGTTGCCCTGTTGGAAAATGAAGCCACTGCGAGCAGTACTGCGAACAAACGGCCAGATAACAGTCTCCATTATCAAGGTACATCTTCGCATCCATCTCACCCTCAATCCGATGAAGGGCACCAACTACTTTGCCACAGAAGTTACCGTGGACCATAACCGAACCTCCACCACCCTTCACGGTCGGCAGCTGGTAACTCGGCTGGTATCTGGTACCGAAAGGACGTCGCCGAACTTGATTCCATCTGTCCCGAACAGCAAAAACTTCGATTCACCGCTCCAGATGACTTTACAACACTGCTGAACGGTCCAGTTCTTGTGAACTTGAGCCCAGTCGAGACGCGCTTAGCGATTCTTGGCGGAAATCAGTGGTTTCTTTACTGGACGTCGTCCAAACAAACCGGCCTCTCTCAGGCGACATTGTACAGTGCTCAAAGATGGGTGTCCTTCGGGCGTCGACATTTCGCGAAGAATCTCGGCTGCAGTGAGACGCGGATCATTCCTTGCAAGCCGCACAATGTTCCTGTCGACAAGACGAGACGTCGTTCTCGCTGCTCCTGGGTCTTTTTTGACCTCTACCGACCCCGTGTCCTTATATTTCTTCCAAATCCTTTAAACACATCTAAGTGACACTCCTTGAATTTCCGAAACTTGCCTTGATGTTAAGCCTTTGAGGAAGCTCCGAATTATGGCATCAACTTGGTCTTGCCGCAAGTTACGGATTCCGGAATGCCTTGTTATAGCCTTAATAACGTAATAGGTGCATGATGTGACTCAAACCATTGAGAACCACCCAAAATTTTTAATATAAAAACTCACCAGTTATAGAAGGTGGAGATGTGTGTTGGCGGGCGATTTGAAAATAAAGCGCTAGTTCTGCTTAGAAACGTGCTGTTGGGCCATCACAGCAGTATAATATCACTAACTGCCTAGGTTTTCTACTGTTTGAATTTCTAGCAGTAAGCTTGAGTTTTGAGGAAGTTATGTTTGAAAAAGTGAAAACGCATACTTCACTGACCGGTACTGTAGGTGGCAGGAAAGAACCTTGCTCACAGGGGCGGGGTTTGCGCGAAAACTGACAATTTAGCCATAGGGCGTTCAAAGTATTCCAATTGCACGAAATTTTCACGGAGGTACGATTCCTCAGCCCGTCTGTCCTTTTTTCACTGTATAATCGCCTTTGTAATATTATACGATCTTCTTACCGGACACAGCGAAGATGGCTTACAGACAAAATCGCTCCCAATTCGGAGCTAATACTGAGGGTGTAGAGTTTTCAAGGAAAAATGAGAATCCGAAGAGTTATTTATTTATTTATTTATTTATTAAGTATTTTTTATTTATTTATTTATTTATTTATACGGCCATGAGACGGCCGGCCTCGCCGGGCGGTCCTCCTTCCTGCAAGAAATTTCCTATGCGTAAATAACTCTTCGGATTCTCATTTTTCCTTGAAAACTCTACACCCTCAGTATTAGCTCCGAATTGGGAGCGATTTTGTCTGTAAGCCATCTTCGCTGTGTCCGGTAAGAAGATCGTATAATAACACAAAGGCGATTATTGGTTCCATATATCCGACTGGTTCCATATAACGCATGACGTTCTCAAGAGCGGCGCTTAAAAGTTTTGGCGAAATGGTATCGCCCTGCCGGACACCTCTTCACGTTGATAATGACTTCTTTGTAGAGTGTTGAAATCCTGGTCGTGAAGTTGTCGCAGAGCTCACGAAGCATCCTCGTATATTGAGTAGGAACACCCTTGTTGCCCAGAGCTTCAATTACCGCTTCTGTCTCGACGGCACCAGAGGCCTTCTCCAAATCGATGAATGACATAACGGCATTTTGTACTCTCGCGATGCTTCAATGAGTCCTGTAGGAGTGTGGATATGAACGACTATTCTGAACCCTCTCCGATTACAGACAGCAGGCAGATTGGGCGATAATTACTAATATCGTCTCAGCAACACAGTCTTGCTAGTTCTACACGACGTGGGCACTTTGCATTCTGACAGGTACCGCGTGAAGAGTCCAGCCAGAGTTCTGACGATAACTGGAGGAAGACTCTTCAGATGTTCTGTTTTGACCCTATGGGGACCGGGTGCCGTACCATTCCTCATCGAAGTGATGGCATGTCGAATTTCGGAAGGGAGAACCGAAGGAGCGATATATTCGTCGCCTAAGATGGTGGGTAGGCAGGTAGACGCGGCTGTCGAAGAGATCAGTGTAGAAGTCGTAGATGATTTTCTCCATTGCCCTCTGGGATGCAGTAACAGTTCCGTCAGGACGACGAAGGGAAGTCATTTTGGTTTTATAATTGATGAAGCTCCGCCGGGCTTAGCGAATGCTCTTCCCAGCCTCGGTGGCTTCAGTCAAAACTGCTGCTGTTCTCTCTTTAAGATCTTCCTTTATCGCTTCTCTGCATAGCTTCGCAAGTTCGGACGTTAGCTGGTTATTGCCTGCAGCTCGCGAAATTCCACGCTGGCGTATCAGCTCAAGATTTTTTGAGGAGAGACGTTTCTTGACATCTTTGAGACTCACAGCTTTCCTGGCGCTATCGTGAAGATGTTCGAAGAGCCGGTCGTATTCTTCATCGATGTTGTAACGGAATCTTCCCACAAACTCGCCAATGAAGCGAAGTGATCCCAACTGACAACAGTCTTGGGGCTTCGCTTCCTGAACTTCGCACCTCTTTCTCCACGCAATGAAAAGCGGAATCTAGCGCGCAGGAGACGACGGTCTGATCAAGTGTAGAGCTTCGGTACAACAGCGACGTCAGCCAGGCAAAACTTTTGATTAACGATGATGTGATGTATTTCAGTATGGAACTGCCCATCAGGTGTTCGATGTTGGTGCGTGAGTAACGAAGACCGTTAGAGCTAGGGTTGACCCACATCTCAGTCGCAAAAGTCCCATTCGGGTTGTTAAGCTTTCGTATGAATCAATGTCGCTGGCCAAGTGCGTGTTGACGAGGACACCTATTCAGCCAACGCCTCTGCTGTCGCATGTTCCAAAGAACAGTTCTTCTGAAGTTCCGAAAGTGGCATGCAGCGGGCGGTACCTCCTCGTCTCGGTGAGTCCGATGAGGTCATACTTGATCTTCCTGGCTTGCATTATCAGATCTTCGATGCACGCTTCCGATGCAAGCGTTCGTGCTTTGGATGTACAGATCGCCATCTCGGTCCTCCTTTTAGGCAGCCTGTCGTGGCCCTGAGATTTTAGCAGCCTCTGCCGAGCGGTATTGGCTCCCAACGATGCCGTATTACAGACACCCTCAGCTTCAGGGAAATGAAGTCCACTTTTATTACTGTTCTTGGCATATGAATACACACGTGTAACTTGCGAGGCTCTAACACGTGAGGTGGGGGGGAGTCACTCTTAGCCGTGTGGACATGCAGACGTGCCGTTAAAGTTATATACACATATTTTCATATCAATATAATTGAAAAAGATAATGAAGAAGATAATGAAAGCTCCAAGCAAAATTCCATCGAACAGTAGAAAAACATTGGCGAGAGCCTTCGGACCATGCAAGCCGACAACTGATGGTAAGACGAAAGCATGTGGCAGGGCAACAGGATGCCTCCCTTTTTGTAGGCAGATATTTCCCCGAGCGAGTCCTTGTCCTTAGTCCAGAACGCAGTGATTCAGACGTAATGTACCGGGGCTTGCTGTGTGCAATTTAACGCGTGAAGAACGAACTCAACTGCGACCTCGGGCGGACGGATAAGGGTGACTCAAGCAAGTGGGTCGCCATCCCTTCAGTTCCACGACAACTACTTAACCATAGCTTCGAACGCGAAGCAGCAGGCCGATCAATATAAAGCCTCGCATGACTTGAAATTACCGGAACTTTATCGGAGCACACGATGAAATACTAAAAATTACAAAACCTGTTTTTTTACGTAAATAAGAGTGGTAAAGCGGACACGCCCACACGCCGCACGTTTCACCCACCCACCGCGTTGAGGTGGTAGGCCAGCGGGTGCAGTTATGTGATAGTGGGTGAAAATGGTTCCGTAGTTTTGTTTCCAAATCCGCTTAGAAAATTCCATTCCGAATGCAGACTTGAGATCATCGTTCGAAAAACAGCTAAGGTGGTATGAAGCCCACATTGAGTGGCCTCTGCTAGAAAGTGTTCGCCATTCTTGCAAGGGAAGAATACTGGGTCGTGGTGGCTATTTGAGATGATTATATATTTTTTGTGTTTTATATATGTGTTTTAGAGCGCTGATCCCAAATCTTTATTCCGAACGCGTGACGGTTCTGGGAACAAAAGTTATGGGAGCACTTCTTTCACATGATTTGGGGTGTTGTAAAACATGTATCGAGAACGAGCCGTATTGCAGATGTGAAATGATGGGGTGATAGGTAAGACAAGGTACTCGCAGGGGTAGCAAGAGGGTTTGCATCCCGTGGGTACCAACTTGTTTAGCATTTTTACGAAATGTATACTGAAGCTTTGCAAAATAGTTTCGCATCCCTCAGACTATCTGCAGCCCTGGCTCGTCAAGAGGAACGTTGAGAATACACAGTTGTTAGATTAAACCCGGTATTTACATTTTCCGCCCCGAAGAGAAATGCTTCAGCCATAAAACGCGGGGTTGTGAAATCTTGTATTGCTTCATGCACTATGGGCGAAGGAATTCATGGTATCGGAACATATCTTTATAGAATTTCCAACTTTTGGAGTACTTAAGGGGCCCTCCACGACCGCATATGGAATCAAAATTCAAAGCACTGGAGGCAGAAGCACTTTTTTGCTGTATGAGATTGCCTCAGGATACGCCTATCTCACTTATCATACGGCCGTAACCGTCAAGGTGAAATGAGGAGCAGTTTTGTGGGGATGTTGAAGCAGACCGCACTGAGAATTTGCAATTTCTCGCAATAACTATTAAAATCCACTAGTGATGTACAGCAATAATGGAGCAAGTTTTGTTCCTCATCAATGGAGGAAAGCAAAATTTCTCTACAACTGGAAGATAAAAACAGATGGACACTCCACCTGGATTACGGAAGCAGACCTCATAGGGTAAATTATTGATTTGAACAAGCACTTTCTTCTGCAATTATTCATTATTCTTTGTATACCACAAAAAGGTACGAGGATCCTCCTCGAGATATATTGGATCAGTCGCTGCTACCACCACAAGATTGGAGAGGACCTGTAAGGGTCATTCACGCACGCTGTCCTAAAGTACTTGTCAAATTATGAGAGTAAAGCACTGTGATACATTTCGTTTCTATGACGGAAAAGAGAAGGAGCATTCACTAGATCAGGACTCTTTGCAACGGTCTACCAAATGCGTATTGCGCACGCAAGTGATATAATCGTATTTGTTGGAAAAATTGGACCCTTACGATACTACGTGAGCACCAAGCGAAACAAGCCAACTAACCTCGAGGAAATCCGTTCTTAGTAAACACTTCTGAACAATAGCAAACACACTAAAAACACTGCATTGAGTCAGGTCTTGAAGGTTTAATACTGCAGTTTCCTTGGAGGACGGAATTCCGGTGTTTGTTATGACGAGCTAGGGTTGCAGATAGTCTATGGGGGTGTGGAACTATAATATTTTGCAAGGGTCTAGCATAAGGTTGGCGGAGGTGGTCTAGTGGCAAGTGACGCACTATATCGCACGCACAGTCAAGGGTTCGAATCCCGGATCGATGCCCGCCTAGGCCAACCAAGCCTTCCATCCCTCAGGGGTCAGTGAATTGGTACCAGACTCGTCTGGGAGGATAAAAGCACTGACTTGTACATCGGCTGGCCACCGCAAGTCATTGTATAGGCCACATACGCACTCATTACGCCACTACGATTCTGAATGGGAGTCGAGAGCGGGTTGCATCCCTCTGACGGGATTGGTTAACGCCAAAAACTTTATCCTTTTATGCTTTACTTCATACCTGCGGGATGAAAATCATCATAGTATCCCTCCGAGTACATTGCCTTACCTGTTGCGCAATCGCTTCACATCTGCATGAGACTCGCCTTTGATAGATGCTTGACAGCCACCCATATCAGGAAAAAGAAAAGCTCCCATAACTTTGGTGTCGGAACCGTTTTGCACACCTGGATTGTGAATTTGAGAACAGCATTCTAAAACAGATATGTGGGTTTACATATCATCTTGAATAGCCGCAGCGACCCAGCACCCACCCCTTGTTAGAAGTGAGGCTAGGGTCGGATTACTTGGATAATCAGGTTCGGGATGAGTTTACTGAGTTTTCGTTGAAACTCAAAGTAATCCCTATTTATAGCGATTTTTTTGCTGTTTGATAGAATGTATACTCATCACTGGATACAGCTCTTTCTGTTCTACGAAATTGCGTTCATCGTCTTCGCAACTAGTTCAGCTTTAATTACTTTCAGACATAGAATTGAATATTTAGGAGATGGATGTCAACATATAAGCTTTTTTTCGCTTTCCAACGCCGCCAACGTCGATGCCAAAAAAACTGCTGAAACAACCCACGATGTTTTCATCGTAAATATGTGGAGAAGGTGTCATAGACAAGTGTAGAGGAAATGGTCTTAGAAGCTCAGAAATGGTGATTTTGACGTGAACGACTCGCTCCGCAATAGAAGTTCATCTAAACTAGACAAAGATAGTCGCAAAGGGCACGATATACTGGGGCATGCTCGGAAGAAACGTCATGGCCACCAAGGATCTTTACATAACCCAGCGATGCGAGTGAAAAGATCTCAACGACAGGGTCAAACCACACTCCTTTGCGACAGGACCATATTACACAAAACGACAAAGCTGCAAGAAGTCGAATGGGAGTCGCATCCGCCGTGTTCTGCGGGTTAGGTACGGATTATCATCTTCTCCGCTCCCTATTGATCTTCGACACCAGATCAGGTGATTTTGGTGCAACGGCACAGGAAAACTGATCGGAAAGAGGGAAAGGTTGTAAACATCGACGCGAATACATACTAGACTGGCTAATAATACAATGATTTTTTGAATAAAAGTAATTGCGAACCAACTCTACGAATTTACTTATTAGCCTAACATTGTATTATGGAATACATGTATTATTGTACTATGTATTATTATTACAGGACAACGAGAAGACGGAGAAGCTTACTCAAACTAAGAAAAAGGTTAGACGCCGAAAAATTTAGATGGTGTTACACTTATTAATGCCAATCGGATCGCACTGCTAACGCTGGGGCCAACTTTTCATGTTGAACTTCGCATGGCACCCGCATCGGTTCTAAATTTGGATGCCCCGGTACAGGAGAATACCGGAAATACACACATCGACACACTCGTTAGAGCCCATCCCATCGTGAGTGGAGCCCTTATCATGTCATGATGTGTGTTTAGAAGCACATTTCACGATAATTTTGGATAACCCAGATTATGACGAAAAATGGAAGATGAGATGGAAAATAGTGCAATGGAGGCGAAGAAACTGCAAGGATCGTTGTTTCCAAAGTGAAAAACGGCTTGGAAAAATCGGTAAAAAGGGGCTGGACGAGAATGAGACCAGAAGAGTGAAGAAGAGTGGGGCGTTTGGATGAGCTATACAATGCGGGTCAATGCGTACGTGTGGGAATTGGTGCAAATAACTGACTACGGTCAGTAAAAATTCATCCGCTTATAAGCATAACTAAACAAAAAAACCATAGTAACAGCAAAAATAGCTCACCTTTTTCAGCCTCTCGGGGTAGGAAATTAAAAAAGGGATCGCGGCAGCAAAAGGAATAACAGAGAAAAAAGAATGGAAGAAAGACATCGCCTCATCACTCGGCGATCAGCTGAGTGTGTGGGTTCTAGAACAAGTAATCGCAATCTGTATGGCTGCTTTCATAGTCCGCGACCACTCGCGCGACCGGTCGCTAGCGACTGGCGACCGGTCGCTCGACTCGCCGCTCGATTGGTCGCTCGACTGATCGCGCGATCTGCTCGGAACCGTCCACGGCGGTACCCATAACTAACGGGCTCCTCGACCGATCGGGCGACCGGCGGCGCGATCAGTCGAGCGACCAGTCGCTAGCGACCGGCGACCAGTCGCGCGACTGGTCGCCAGTCGCTCGCGAGATGGGTCCGCGACCAGTCGCGCGACTTATCGCTTGCAAAATCGTGGACTATGAAAGGTGCCTATTGCCTTGACACTCGTCTGACGTGACATCGATCAAGAGGCGAGAAATCCACTTACGACAGCAACTGGGCTTTCACTATGCCCTAATCGCCGAGATAGTGGGAGCGAGAAGGTTACTTCTACTTCCAATGGGGCCCAATAAGTATTCTTAAGGGAACAACTCAGTCGCCATTTTTATCGTGAACCGTGCGTTTAAGTAATTTTGCTCAATCCTCACTTATTCCAACTCACCAGGGAAGGATCCAAAGTTGAAGTGGCCATTTGAAATAAGTCGTACACGCCAGATGTGCTTTTAGATGCTGATTTCAAATCTGCCTTCCAAATTTGCCAAGCGATTCTCTGAACGGAGTTATGAGGGTGAACTTAAATAACATGGATGAGGGTCGCTTTTCAGCAGGTAAGGGTGACACTCCATATGCGAGAGGCTGGGGGTCGAGTTTTGTGAAGAACCGAATTTAAGGCAGCAGAGAGCGATTGTAGAGTCTCTAAAGATATTAATCTTTTTGTTATCCATGTTAGTCTTCTGCATGGTTGATTCGGCAAGATTTAGTGTGATGAATCTAGATAGAAGTTCTAGGCGTGGTATACCCTGCTCTCTTTTCATTGGGGCGATATTCGATTTCGCCGTAAAAGTCTTGTATCCAAGGTTCCTTTGTTGGAAGTCGATGTTAAGTAGATGCAGCAGGCATACGCACGTTTACAGTTATCTAAGAAGAGTGACATCGTGTTGTCTGATGACATTTCTGCGACCTTCCGTGGCAAGTTAATTTCGAAACCACTTATGTTGGATTTAATCTCCTTCGTGACCTCTGATCTTGGCTGGACAATGGAGCATCCCAGCTGTATTTCTCCTTGTGAAGATCTTGAAGGAAGACTTCGGCTGGAGACATGAGTGGCGATAGCAAACCGAGTGGTCATAACAGAAGCCATTTATTTGGCTCAGGACTGTTCGCTTTGGGAGCTTCAAAGCATTTCTTGCAACAT